CGGCCCAAGGCGGTCAGGAGGGAGCAGGGCGAGGGGCGGGGCCTTGGGGCGTGGTCTGAGCGGGATGGGCGGGTCTAGGCCTGTGGAAGGGCGGGGCTGTGGCCGGGGCTGTGGGCCGGGCCTGGCCTCCTCCTGGGCGGAAAGATGCTGGAACTCATAATTGCGAAAGTGGGCGAGCGGAAGACGGAGATGGGGAAGGGGGTGTGCGCACTGCATCCCCGCCGTTAACTTGGGTGCTCACCTCCGAAAGGGTAGTCCTTTCCTCCACTCTACCCAGCTAGGTGGGTAACCAGAGGATAGCTAATACCTAACACCATAGGACCCAGACAGAAATTTAATTGAAAACGCAATTTCTTAGCATTCTGACTGGTATTTGATATTTTGCTCTATAAGCAAATCAACTTCTTTTAAATGTCCGCTCCATCGACAAACCTTGCTTTTGTAATTAATTGTATACGACTTTTCTTAATTTTCTTTAGGTCTTCAGTTCAACAGGCTTTATTGAATAGCTACTGTGTGCTACCCAAGCCCCGGTAGTACAAAGTTGAGTAAGACAGTCTGAGCACCCAGGAATCCCCGAGATGGACCCGTGAACAAACCCGCACAACACAAAACAAGCCGTTTGAGAAGCTGTGCCAGACACAGGCCGGAGCGACCTCCTGTGCCTGGAAGGCTAACACGATAGTGCCCGAATAAGGTCTGAAGAATGAAGAGTTCATTCCAGTGCGTTAGGCAGAGAGCCGGAAGGAGGATATTCCCGGAAGAAGGAACAGCGAAGGTGAGACATAACTTGGTGTGGTCAGTGTGTTCTTACCTATGAACTCAATGAACATAAATTTTAAAAATTTAGACTTTCCTAATTTAAATTGACTATAGTCCATTCTTCATGCCTACATCTTTTGCACTTCAAAGTAGCTTCTTTCTGAAAAAATTGTCCTTAAAGGTCAGTTAATGCTTGATCATCATATCTCTTCTCATATGGCAGCACAGGTTAAGTTATGAACTCAGATGACACCTGGAAGAACTAATTGCAGATTAGGAAGGTGAACTGGAAGTAGATCAAGGTAGTGAGCCAAAAGCAAGTCTCCATTTCTAAACTCTGGGATAGCGTTTAGAAATAACTAGGAGAGCTCAGCCGGCCACGCAATGGTGAGAGCTGTACAGCTTATAGACACGGGGGTCAACGGCAGCATTCCCTTGGGAAGGAGAGAGGCTGGGCCCATGGAAACGGGCTGCCCGACAGCTGCCCTACCACCTCTAGCTTGATCTTGGGGTCAGGCCTACCTAAGACTTGCTTTTCCTTGTAAATGGGCTGGCTGCGGTCTGTTATCGCAGTGATCACTTGGGTTAAAATTTCAAACAGTGAAACTGGGCAGTGAGAACTACATGGTGAGGAATTTTTGTTAAAGTGAAGATTTTAGTTTGAACCTTAACTGTATTACTTAATTTGAATGTCTTAAAATTGAAATATATTCTTTTAAAATGTTAATTATTCATTTTCAAATTTTTTTTTAAAGAAAATAATGATTACAACCAATTATTACATGATTATAACTGAAAAGGCTTTTGACTGGAGAAGAGTGTTAACAGAATAAGCCACTCTGGGCATCAGATACGCTCGAAAGCCCCTCCCCCACTCACACTCCCAGGTTTCCACGAGTCGTGGGTGGTCTGTCCAGTCTGTCCCCTCAGCCAGAACATAGATAAATTACTGAGCTAAGGGCATTTTAACTGCAATCTTCCAGAGACAGTGTACTTTTGTTATTTCACCCACTTAAATGATGACCCTACAGGTGGTCACCAAAGGTCAACTGCAAGTGACCTGTTAACAAGACCAGTGCTAGCAGAAGTGTGATCAACCCAAAGATCGTTTCAGCAAGGCTCCGTCAAGTAACTTTCCGGGCTTGTTTCCTCGTTGGCCAATGCAGATGAAGTCACAGGTGCGCCGCCATCTCTGAATTGTTGTGCAGGTCTGAGCGCATCTCGGTATGAACACACTGCAGGACCGAGAGGCAGAGGTGCAGGAGCGTGTGTGGGAGTCGTTTCCCCAGTGCCCTCCTGCTCTCCTCTCCCTGAGCTGTGGGGGTCGCTCACACTGACTTCAAATCCCAGCTCCACAGTTTACTAGCTGTATAAATTTGGTAAGTTGCTCAGTCTCTTCTCTTTTGGGAAGTGATTATGACGCTGTGCATGGTGGCTGGGACTATTGACTGTGTGATGCCTCTCACATGGTCTGATGCACAAGTGTGTTCTTATGGTCACACAAATCCTTTCCATCCTGTACATGTTTCATGAAGATTAATGGGAAGAATGGTGTTGCTTTTGATAAAATATATTGGAGATGAACAAATGATCAGTTTATGATAAAGTCACAATAAATATTTCTATATTTTAAATATTAATGTCTGAGCAATTACTTTCCATCCACCCGATAGGTCATGATGTCTAAAAATCATTTGTAGTTATACAGAAATAATGTCCTCGGAACTTTCCAGAAGCCAGTGACCTTGCTTCAAGTAAATGCCTGTGATTTTCACATTCATCAGAGGCTTGCACATTTTCACTCACATGCCCCTCACACTGGCCGACAGATAGTAATAGTAAAGCCCCGCCAGATCTAAGTGGAGGGGAGAGAAAACCCCTTAACCATTAACTCTTGATTGAACAGACAGATGTGTAATTCATTTTACCCGCAACTCTGCTGTCACCTTATGATTCACATTAGGAACTGGGAATTGGAGGAGAATGACTTTGAAGTCTGCCCCCGCCCCGGCTTTCTGCCTCACAGGTGGTGAGATTATACTTTCCCAGCACAGGATCCTTTTTAATGGGGATTTTTACACAACTTAGAAGTAATATATTTTTAAGGAGAATGGATCTTGGCTGTCGAACTGTACTTCCTACCTAGGCAGTATTCCGTCCCGGACCAGAACCAGGTAGGGTCTCAGACACTTTTTCAAATAGAGGGAATCAAGACTTTTTTGGAGCAAAGGCTAATCTCATGTTTGAGACAACAGTTCAAAATGAGCCTGCAACACCTTCTTGTGCCAGAAAGCAAGACATTCAAAGATTAATGGAGATGACGGGACACGGGAACTAATTGAAAAGGGGCTCCTCTTGGCCAAAATTGAGTGAGACGATTTGAGCATCAAAGGAGAATATTAGTTGAAGCTGACTGATATACCGTGAACCTGAACACAGCCAGATCATTTGGTACAGGTCGTCCCCTACGTGTGGGATGCTCTTCTAACTTGGCTTCAACTCCACTCCCACATCTCAGGTGAATTCCATCTCTTCCACAGGCATGATCCCCCCTCTCCGCTTTACTCATTTTATTATGATCAGTGTCATATATTTAGTCATACTATTTGTGTGACGTCTTCTTCCCTAAGCTGTAATCTGCCCGAGGACAAGGACCCAGTGGGTTTTACTGAATCACTAGCACCTCCTGTAGTGTTAGCACGGAGGACAGGCACCACACGTTATTTGTAGATTATGTTTTTAGCTCATCTCTAGGGCAGGGACTCCTTTACACATGGCTTTGAAGGGACAGCATGACAGAATGGTAGGCGCTTTTCTAATAAGCGCTTCTTTGTTGAAGTGTTTTCGAGCCATTCCAAAGCAATGTGCCGTGCACCAAGCTTTCGTCAGAGGCTTTCTCTCCTGGCTAAAGTCGGCCGTGCAGCTCAGGCCTCGACTCGTCCCGAGCGTTTCTCCCACAGTCCCCGGAGCACAGCTCGCTGGAGCCGCGTGCCCTGCCTCGGCCCCTCGTGTTCTTCACCACTTGGGGTGGTTGTCCCCCGGCTGGAGGCGGGCCGGCGCGTGGGCCGCCAGGACAGGTGTCCCTAGACGTCTCAGAACTGTCGCCGCACCCAGCAGGAGCCAAGTGTTTCTGGCCGGAAAAGCTCATTATTCGTAAAGCACTTCGTCTCCAATGAGCTTTGACGAGCATCCTCGTTAGGTTCTCTGCAGGCGGAACTGGAACCCAGGTCTGATTCCTCTTCCCTGCTTCAGCAGGGAGGCTCGTTCCCTCGGGATGTCGGCCTTTCTCCAACGCCCCGTCTCCGGGGGCGGCCGGAGTTGCTTTGCTCGGGCCCAGGTTTCCCGCCCAGACCGCGGCCCCGCAGCCCAGCCGCGGGTGTCGAGCCTCGG